GATTTGAAGGTGGTTGACGACATCTATAGACCACTTAAGTTATACTGCGATAATAATCCGGCAGTACAGTATGCTCACAACAATAAGTCAAGTGGTGTTGCCAAACACATTGACATAAAATATTATGTTGTGAAAGATAAAGTCCGAGATCATGTTATAAGTCTTGAGCATATAAGTACCGAAAAAATGCTCGCGGATCCGCTTACAAAAAGCTTACCACCCAACGTGTTCAGAGAACATGTAGCCGGCATGGGTTTAAGAGAAAGCCTATAATTCCTGGATAAAAGAAGGTCCAAAGTTAAGTATCTATTTCAGAACAGAGTGGTGTAGTGTGGCTGTTAAATCTATCGGCAATGGAACGTGATGATGAGACATGCTCTATGCGCTAATATATAATGAAATGAACAAAAATAAATGATATGAAAATGAAAGATGGAAGGAGATCAAGGGAGAGATTGTTAGAATAATCTCTAATCCTAATTGGACCCAACGGCCCAGTTAGGCCTTTGATTCGCGCCCTGATCGGGGGCGCCCAGCCCACCATGGTTGGAGGGCCTCTGTCACACTGCGCTATAAAAAGAGGTGGGGGACGGCGGCTCTGATCACGAGGTTGACCTGAGCCGAGCTTCCCACCGACACCAAAACCCTAACCCGATCTAGAGAGGGGCGCAGCCAGTGACGGAAAGCCACCAGCCGTGCCGCCCACTCCATCGACGTCGACGTCGACGTCTTCACCGCCCTCTTCATCGACCGTCGCTGCCCGTGCGCAGACTACACCGACGAACGTGATGGCGTCCTCTGAACCCTCCCCTTTGCAGTGTCAGGTTCAACACCTTCTCCCTTCCATCTTTCTCTCTAGTTCTACATGTATTAGGATGTACTGCGTCTTTTATCCCGAATAGAATCACTCTACCGGCTAGATCTACGATCCTAACTCCAACACGTGGAAGGCGAGCGAGTCGTCATAGCCATACTGGTACTCGGTGAAGCTGGGGCCGGCGCACATCATCGTGCTGTCGTCCTACTCGGCGCTCGGCAAGTACACGCCGCAATACAAGTGGCTGGAGGCGGAGCTGAAGCACGTGGACCGGAAGGTGACGCCGTGGCTGTTCATCAGCACGCACGTGCCGTGGTACAACAGCAACAACTTCCACTACATGGAGGGCGAGCCGATGCGGGCGCAGTTCGAGAAGATGGTCGTGGACGCCCGCGTCGACGCCGTGTTCGCCGGCCGTGATTTTTGGTAAGAGAAGATGCGTACGTTCGCGCCAGCGGCCCTGCACCCCTTCGTGGGGGTGTGCTGACTCGCCGACCCATTGTGTTGCGCACGGCGCCGCTGTTGGCCACCGGCCGCTTCCTGTTCCGGATCGGAGCGGGAGCACTGCGGCAGTGTAGCGCTGGAGCGAGTGGCGCCCCTGTTCTCTGGTCCACTCCGCCCGCCATGCCGCTCTCGGAGGATATGAGATCAGCGTTCAGGTTTAGCAACGCTTGTTCACTGGCGAAGAGATGCAGTTTGGTTTCATGTTGGCTTTTTATGTCACGATCATGTATGTATATACGAGTAGAGTGGGCCGAGCACCATATCATATCATATCATGCACCACACAAGCAGACTGGGCCGAGCAACAAAACGTCGCACCCATCGGCCCATGCTTTAACTAGTATTTCATTCAGAAGAAGGATGGGAGGAAAAACAGGAGCAGGAGAATTTCGTCTCCGGCACTCTGCCAGTCATTTGATCCTCATCACTGTTCGCTTAGAGTAATTCTGGAGGAATTTGGATGGTTTGGAGGAATGCTGGAGAAATTTATGAGAGAAAAATACTATTCCGGATAAAAAAAAAAGTGGACCAAGTCGGGTTTAAGGACACGCGAACGGACCGAAGCTTGTGCAAGGACGGACTATGCAGCAAACTAATAAACACACACTAGCAGCAGTCGGTCCAGTACAGAACAAACACCTATTAGCAGCGTACTAGCAAAACTAAAACACTTAGCTACGACCTACGAACGCTGTACAATGGCATCAGATCAGCGGATCAGTCGTGGTCTAGTCCCAGCTCCCGCTCAGCAGCGGCTTCACGTCGGCCACCTCGCCGAACATCTTCACTAGGTCCGAGCAGCTCGCCGCGGCCTTCTGGTTCTCACCCTCGCCGTCCTGCACCTCCACTTCCCCCTCCAACTGGAGCCCGAGCTCGTCCTCCACGTCGTCCGACGCCGCGATCAGCAGCAGCTCGCAGCCCTCGTAGTTGAGTAGGCCCGTCGTCCACACCCACGGCTGGACGGCTGGTACGCGATGCTGCGCTCGGCGAACCGGCCCCACGTGTCCCACCGGTTGTTGTCGTGCAGCGGGTGCTTGTCGGCGTACAACAGGTCGCCGACGAACAGCACGGTGTCGCCCGGGTGGGACTCGTAGTGCGTCAGCGTGCTATTGGAGTCGGGTGTCTGGCCCAGCAGCCTGTTCGGCTGGTCTGAAACGATCGTATACGATCATGGATTATTACTGCTGGCTGATTTGGTGTGAGAAAAAAATACTGTCCTGGTTGAAAATTTACGATCGTTTACGACCAAGCGAACAGGCCTCAGCCCGTCGCCGATGAGCCCCAGCCGGAGCGGCACGTACTGCCTCAGCTTCGGGGAAAGGTAGGGGGTTTCTGTAAATATATTTTGGATTTAACGTTAAATAAATTAATATGGACCTGTAGTGAACAATTTTAAAAGTTTATAGACCTAAAAATACGGTTTCAAAGTTGATGGACCTAAATGACACCTCCACGAAAGTTAATGGATCTCCGGTGCATTTTACTCTTTTGTTTTTTATAGATATATAACTTTTGCTATATACTTAGATACTCCCTCCGTCCCTAAATATCTGTCGTTTTCGCTTCCCGATAAATAACTTTGACTAATATTAAAAAATAGTAATATTTATGATACATAATTAGTATCATTGATAGATATTTGAATCTAGTTTTTTAATAAATTTATTTAGAGATAGAAATGTTGCACGTATTTTCTATAAATCGAGTCAAAGTTATCGACATGCAAATCGTGACGACAAACATTTAGGGACAGAGGGAGTATACCTTATGTCTAGAACATAGTAAATGCCATATATCCCAAAAACACAAAGCGTCTTATAATTTAGAACAGAGAAAGTAACTAATAACTTAAATAGCTGTATATAATAATCTCACATGATTTTGAAGTGTGTATATGAGACTAGCTCTTAATTAAGAGATAGCCTTTTCTCTTTCTCTTATAAAGATATGAAGTAATATAATTAGAGCTAGCTAATAAGTTACTATTATTGTAGTAATTGTTCTTAGTGAGGATAAGCAGCCATTTGATTGGTCGATTCTAGGCAGCAAAATATTCAAAACTCGAATGCCCCAAATGGCAGTTTTGGAATTGTCCAGTCGAGTACCACGGTGGTCGGGGATCCAGCAGCTTTTCAGAATTTCAGTGCCCCAAATAGCCAGTATGGGACTTGGACGACTCAAAGGGTCTATTTGGTAGTGCTCCGGCGGCTCCGGCTTCAGCCACGGTAGCAGCCTGTGGTGGAGCTGCGGAGCCTCTCAAGTGTGGCTCCTTCGGCTCTCTCTCTGATCACTGAAGGAACCGAAATCTCTACAGAGTTATGTACAGGGCAGTACAGTTCTGCACTGGAGAGGAGGAGCCGGAGATCGAACTGGGAGCCGTGCCAAAGACGGCCAAAGTCTCAAATCACCCTTACACAGTCGAACCTCGAGCTTGAAGTCGGGAACACCGCGCCGCGCCTGCTCGTGCCGTCGTGCGCACTCGCCATTCGCCAACAAACGCGAATCCTACCCTGTCAAAAGTGGCAGCAAAATTTGAGTGCCGCCGGAGGAAGAAAATGAATTTCGAGAGGAAGGCGGACCATGCCGGGTACGCATCGTCCAGTTTTGCTTCGTCACGGGCCCCGACGCGGTCTGCTTCTTCCCGTCTCTGCCTCACACGCGTGCGGCCTTGTTCACCGCACCAAAGCGGCAAAGCCCCTGTCCCTGTCCCTCCGCTTAGGTAGCGTTTGGTTGGAGGGACAAGGTGGCATGGGATGGGACGGACTGGAGGGACGAGCAACGCTTTGGTTGAGGGGCTAGCGGTGAGTGAGGATGTCCCTTGTGCGAATATACCGTGAGATGCGGAATGACCCCGTCCCCAAAATTTTCACGAACGGGGCGACCACCTGTGGGATGAGCGGCTCATGCAAGAAGAAAGAAGAGGAGGAGGTGTCGGTCACGGTCACGGACGGGGTCGTGGCGAGTGCTCCGTTCCCGTCGCCAGACGAGGAAGGATAGCACCTACCTGTGGGATCGATCGATCCGCTTCTCGCTCGCTTCGGCCAGGCTCCAGCTCTCGCCTCACGCGCGGGCCGAGCTCGCTCTGCCCACCGCCGTCAGACGAAGCTTCGCTCCGGCCACACCAGAGACGCCTTTCGCTGCCGCGCGCCCCCTCTTCTCCTCGATCTGGCGCCACAAGCTCGCGGCGGCGGAGAAGCGCTCGATGGCTGAGCTTCGCGGGGCGGGGAAGCGCGCAAGGGCTCATTCGCCGAGCTTCAAGCGGCGAGGAGGCCCATGGGCGGTGGCGGCGCCGAGGCTTCACGGAGGACGGAAGGCACGGGCAGGCGTCGGGAGAAAAGATAAGGAGAAGAGAAAGAAAAAGATAAAGAAAAAAGAAAAAAAAACTTACAAATGAGTCTCACTTATCGGTATCTCATCCTACTTTTTATGCCTCTGAATCAAATACAAAATTGATCGGTCCCGTCGCTCATCAACCAAACAGAAGATAAAACCATTCCGTCCCTCCGCCGTGTCTCCCCACCAAACGCTACCGCGCACCCCGCACTCGAAGTCACAGTCGCAGCCTCGCAGGGCCAGTCTCCTCAGTCCTCACCCTCTCCGCCTCCCCCGAGCCAGGCAGGAATCCTCTAGTCCCGCGCCCAAACCCTCGGCCTCGACAAGCACCTGCGCACGGTGGGCCATGGACGCGGCATCGATGCTGGAGGTGTACCGCCGCGTCCGGCGCAGGCTCCTCGGCTTCCTCCTCTCCGCCGGTGGCGGGGGCGGCCGCGCCCTCGATCTCTCCCGCGTCGACCTCGACGCCGTCAGCGCCGACTACGCGCTCGAGTGCGTCGCCTCCGGTAAGCCAGGCAGAGCCCCCTCCGTGCCCGCACGCGAACCTTGGTCATGTGTGTTTAATCGGCGACGGCGAATTTATTCACCTGATGGTTCGAGTTCTGATCAATCCAGGCGCCCATTTTAATGCTTCGGAGGCCACGAGGAGGTACTTCGACGAGAGGAGGTACCCTATCATGGTATGAGGCGATCTCATCAATGAATTTCCTTGCCATTTCGGCTTGAGCTGATCTTCATTGTTGCTTGTTGGTTTGTTATTATTGATCCCGAAATAAGTCTTCTTCTTTGACAACAAGTGTCTGTGAACGGTTGGTAGTATTGGGGCTATATATTGTTGGATTTTTCGAGTTTTACATAAAATTTTGCAACTGATTAGCTGTCTTGTTGTTATGCAATTGAATTCAATATAATTACTGCAATAGGTAGTTGAGAATTCATTACAAAAAGGTTGCTCGGCTCTTACTATGCTAATAATATTCCACTATGCATGAATTTCATCAACTGTAAGCAGCATGCTTCTCCAGTATTTTCTTAATCAGAGTTGATTAGTGCTTGATCTTTAAAACCATCGAGATTATTACAGATTTCAGTATCGCAATTTAATTAGGATATCTGTCAATTTTATGTATGGGAAACACTTCTAATGTGACTGCTTTAGTACAACTCAAGTGCAACAATGCATCTAAACCATCCAATACATTTATGAGCCTTCCATCTAATGATCCAACCATCGGATACTTTCTTTCTCGAACAAACCATTGGATCCTGAGTTGCACTCAAAAGTTGTAATGAAATGGCTATGTAGTCATATCTTACAGTTACCTGCTTAATGCTTAAATCTCCTCAATCCTACTGTTTCTCAATTCCTTCCATTCTTTGGATTTTAAAATCCTACTGTTAAAGTGAAGATCACTGATTCAATTGAGTGTTCCATTCGTCCTCCATAGTTACATATGCATAATTTGGCATAACGAGTTTCGTCTTGGTATCGACGAACAACTGAGTGCTCTATTGTTACATACATTTTCTGTGGAGTATTATAATAGGTGTAGGGGTTTATCTGAACATAATTAATTATTCTCATCTGCCATAACCTTCATCGGAGATAATATATGTTTGCACCTTGGCATGAGGTTCATTTGGACTCTGAAAGTTAAAACAAGGGTCAAAACCATAACGTACTGCTTCAATTTCCCTTTCTGTGATTGTTGTCAATTTTGTGTCCAGATTGGGTCGCCATCAGGGAACTCTTATTTTCTTCTTTCGAGGCCACGGCCATCTGATTCCCCTCCAAATGAAGCGGCACCTAGCATTGGGCCACAGGCACCTGTACAAGACAGCTCAAGTTCAGCAGGACAACCAACTGAACCAAGAGATTTCTTCAGAGATGCTATTAATGCCTCAGGAATAGGATATGGCACGAATGAAGATAACTTGGCAGATATTTCTCCTCAGAAAGTAAAGAAAGTGGATATTCTTTCTCTAGGTTTGCCTAGGCTAACCACAGGTAGAAAGTTGTACATGCTTCATTTGTTATTCTCTTATTCTTTGGATATTGATACCCAGAATCATAGATATAGGAATATATTATAGCATATAGATTACTTATTATGTTTTCTAGTTTCTACCCTGTTTTAAGAAGACGAATCGTGTGGGGATAACCTAATTTGTTTTCTAGAGCTAATTCTATTCTTTCTTTTTTTAACTCAAGAACTGTCTGATGATGATATAAGATAATCAGCTTATGAGGTCCTTCTTGCTTCTCTATTTGTCAGGTAATTTTCTACAAAATGTGTCTACTTGGTTGTTTGCGTTAACTGCATGGTTTGTCTTCATATTTGAAGTATACATTTACAATTCTAACTCAGCTTCCTTAACAATAGAATTCTAACAGTGGAAAAGTACACTTCTCTGAAGAAAAAAGAAAAAGAAGCACAAATTCTTGAAGGGTTGAAGAACTAAGACTTAAGGATCAAATCCATCACCTCAGGTGGAAGATGGCTATGCCCACATTCTTGATTTGATCCGAGTACAAATGGAGGCAAGGTCTTGTTCACAAATTGGTCATTTTTCATGTTAGTTTAAGAAACAAATTCGGGTATTCACTGTCTGTCTAAAATAGATGGTAATGATGCCTAGCCTGTCAATATTCTTCAATGTTCACATGAATGCCAGATATTAACGATTTTTGGTTCCCTCATTTCATTTTATCGCTGAGTACAAGAGTCTGTTATGATCTTAGGAAGCAAAGTTCTTAGCTAATATATCAGAGGAACCTTTCTAGTTTCTACTCTCTCTTTCATCAGTCCGTTTAAATTTTTTTTAAATAACATTTTCTATGCTGTCCTCGAGACTCTAGAGATTAGAAGTTTTTTTGCCTCCTTTTTATTCAACGGTCATTTTGAATTCACTACTAGGCTAGGAAATATTCTAGAGAGGACTCATTAGCCAAAATTCTTCCAGATTTCAGAATCTATGGACGCACTGACTAAACGAGCTTTAAGACATATTAGTTTGAAGACAGCGAAAGAAACACTTGATGTGCCCCGTATATCACTACAGCTCTTAAGTTCTGTTGGCAAACTTGATTTTCCAACAGAAAGATTGCGTGGGCAATGGCAGAAAAGACAGGCAAGCACTTATAATCGTTTCTATCTGCAGTATGCCAGTATGTGTGTCTGTCTTACTATTGTCTCTGATTCTGCTATCCAGGCGAATGTTCTTGAGGAATTACTTCTCTTCTCAGCATCTCTTGAGTATGATATGAGCAAGACATTAAGGATAGTTCTCTCTAAGCTAAAAAGTACAGAGGCAAGTACTAGGTATAAAGGGCGTACCCAGTGCAGAGAGCTCCCGCTCTGTGCGGGGTCTGAGGAAGGGTGTCGGTGGCAAGCCTTACCCTCGCCTGTGCAATGCGAGGAGACTACGACTCGAACCCGGGACCTTCTGGTCACAGGCGGTAAGACTCTACCGCTTGCACCAGGCCCGCCCTTCAGCAATGATACTAGTATCTATCTCAAAAATAAACAACTGTTTCATCTTTCTCTTCGCAACGGACTGATTCACAGTATTGATTTCATTGTATATATGCATCGTTAACTATTCCAGGACTGGGTTGTAAGTGTTCCTGAGGGCCGTGTCGAGGTCTTGACTATCATTGAAAGATACAACGCAAAACTTTGTGCGCTGACAAAGAAGTTTGACATTAAAGATGAGACCTACCATTGGACCCATAACTATCATTTTAATTTTAGGCTATATGAGAAATTACTTTGCAGTGTGTTTGATATTCTTGAAGATGGGCAACTTGTAGAGGTTTGTTTTTTCTTTACTCACTATATATCATTATATATCCTCTCTGGTCTGCTTAAAAAAGATCACACCCTGCTACCACATAGCTGATTTGTTCGTGGACAGCAGTGTTCCATCCTGAGTTCCTGAATGTGCTATCTAATTTTACTACCAGGAGGCTGATGAGATACTGGAAACAGCAAAGCTGACCTGGCCTATGTTGGGCGTTACTGAGAAGTTGCACCACATCTTCTATGCTTGGGTGCTTTTCCAGAAGGTCTTTTTACTGCTATAATTTGCCCTTTCTCCTTTCCGGATAGCATCCGTTGCCCCTTATTGATAGCATGAACTAGCGAATTATGAATTTGTGGCTCATCATGTCTCTGCATTTCCTTTGTTGCAAGAGCACCTAGTATGTTTGTAGGCAATAGGAGCTAACTTGTTGACATTTAGAATGGATGGACATTGTGATACAACGATGCTTTCTATTGAATAGGAGCTGCTCTGATGAATCAATTGTCTTGTGAACCATAATAAATGGAATTGCCTTTACTCTGCTTAGAGGCAGGGAAAACTTCTTTTGTCCATTAATTGAAGCAACCTTATTGATACCTGACCGTTTTATTAGTGTTACCTTGTTTGTACCCATGGCATACTCATATAATTGTTTTCTTTCCATTCAGTTTTCTCAAACTGGGGAGATTCTTCTACTGAAACATGCAAGCCTTCAGATACAGAACCTTCAAGTGCACCACGACGTTAAAGAAATAGAGTTATATACAAACAGCTTCATTTGTTCTGTGGATACCTGTGGTGGCAACAGGGTTCTAAGTTTGGTTGACAGTGCCCTACTCAAAATAAATGTTTGGTGCCGCAGACAGCTAGACAATTATCATGCATACTTTAGTAAGGTTATTTTACGTCCCTTGTTTGCAGCTGTAAGACCTCTCGGTGTAGATTTGAACGTCGTTGGACTCTGGGCGTTGGACAGTCCGACGCTGGGTCCGACAGTGGTGATCAGCGCGTGGCAGGCGACCGCTGGCGCGTAACGGTCAAATTCCTTTGAACGGGACACGTGGCGTCGTGGCAGTGGTCGCGCAGGGTGTCGGACCCAGCGTTGGACGGTCCGATGCCCCGTGTTTTCAGAGACCGACGGTCACTTATGTGACCCAACGGCTATGAGCTCTTGGTATGAGCTCTTGGGGATGTCTATTTAAGTGAAAGGGTCGGTCTTGGGCGCCCTCTCTTGGCACTTTGATATACTTTTCATCCCTTAGAGCTGAGCTACTCCTCTCCATCCATTTCTACTTGATTGATTTATTATTTGGTGAGATTGGAGAGCATCCAAGTGCATTGCTTTAAGTGATTGCATCTAGAGATACTTGGTGATTGTGTTTCATTGTGGATTTTGTTTGTTACTCTTGGTGGTTGCTGCCACCTAAACCGCTTAGTGTATCGAGGATCGTCGAGCGGAGGAAGGTGATTGTATCCGGCTCCGATCGTGGTGATTGTGAGTGGTTTTTTATCTTTCCCGGCGAAGAGCCAAAATGTACTATAGTGGATTGCTCGTAGTTTGTGGATCCCCACCTTGTGATGGTTGTGCAGCACCCGATTGCGAGTTAGGCGTGTGATGTCTATTAGTGTGTGAACCTCCGAGTTGGTGAATCGCTGCAACGGGGACTAGCTTGCCGGCAAGCAAGTGAATTTGGAAGAAAAATCTTTGTGTCATCTTTGTCTCTCGGGATTTCTTGTGATTTATTGTTCATCTCTTGCCATGGTGGTAGAACTCACTATCTCTTTTGTGTATTTATTTTTCTAGTGTAGCTAAGCTCTTTAGTGTAACTAGTTTTGAGAGCTAGCTAGTGTCTTATCTAGTTTGGTTAGTGAGGCTCTTTAGTTGGTCTTTGAGAGCTCACTAACTTAGTGGTAGTGACCTATCCTTGTGTGTGACATAGAAACTATAGAAACTAAAATTGTGGATATGTGACTTTTATTTTTAGTAGACTAGCGTAAAACTCGCTTCACCATTTAATTGCCTAACCTATTGGCTTTAAGTGTTGTTTGTAGAAATTTTTATAGGTTATTCATCCCCTCTAGCCATTAGAAGCTTTCAGCAGCCATACGGCGGCGGAGACAACAAGCGTAGATGCACGACGACAAAGATGGTCAATGTGAACGCGTAGAAACTAGTGGCAGCAGAGATGGAAGGGAGGAGGCGAGCGACGGCGGAGACAGAAGGGACGAGTCGAGGAGAAAGTAGAGTCTGAGAGTTAGACTCAAGTGCATCCGTGTGTTAGTGCGTGCAGTTGGGAGGAGGTGGATGGTTAATACTGGGGTAGATAAGGTGGGTTGGATTGTTTTATGAGCCTTTTGTCTAGCTTTAGGTCCACAGTTTTTTGTTTTTTTCTTTTAATTAGGATAATATATGTATATGTATATGTATAAAACGTCTAGAAAATGCCTAGACACGTTTAGGCTCTAGGAAGTAAGTCACCGTCTACAGACCGCCTGGTGCCTTTTCCAACCTATGTGGAGAGAGAAAGTGGTGGTCTAATCTGACCTCGCTAGACCTATGGACGGTGGCGGTCACGGTGGAACAGGGCTAGCGAGGTGTTGCTCGGGATGGCGGTCGCGGTGGAACGGGGCCAGCAAGGTGCTTCTCGGGGCGACGGGTGAGTGCGGGCGTCATGTGCGAAGAGCGCAGTGAGGAAACCATCGAAGAAAATTGAGGTAGCCACTTATTGGCCTAACGGGAATGGATAGTGGGAGAACAAAATTTATGGTGCAATAAATTCAGATGGACTAGTAAATAGTCTCCTGAAGTTGTTCTCCACTACTAAAAAATAGAATAGATAATCTATAATCTGATACGAAGTGTTGCTACCTCTAAGGCTACAATAAAACAAGACCATAGCTGAATTTTGATTTCTGGCTGGTAGCAGTACAAAGATGTTTCAATTTAAGCCTGCACCATGACTCGATACAATACTACAATCAAGACTACCGTACTCTACACGAGTGTCAGTGATTTCAGTCCTAGCGGCGCGAGCGGTTAGCTCTTGCGGTCACGTGACCCTCCGCCCGTCCTCGCCGCCGCGGCCGCCCGCACGGACAGCGTCAGCACATCCAGATCCGACGTCTCGTTCCTCCTCGCCGCCTTAATCCCCCGCTCCCGCACCGCGTGCCTCTCGTCGTCTTCGTCTTCGTCTTGTTCCTCGTTGTTGTGCTCCTCGCCATTTTCCACGGCGGTCCCGTCTTCGCCGTCGTCCGCATCGTCCCCATCCGCACCGCGTATACGCTTGGCCCCGATTGCGACGCCGAACAGCATTGGCTTCGGCCCGCTGGGGCCTTCCCCGCCGCCGCCGTGCCCCTCGTCGCCGTCAGCCAGATCCTCATCTCCGCCTCTGCCTTGGTCGTACCGCGCCACGAGGTGCCGCACGCCGTCGCAGAGGCGCCGCGCGCGGGCCAGCTCCCGCGCCAGCCTCGCATTCTCGCGCCGCAGCCGCGCGTTCTCCTCCTCCAGCTCGGCCACCGCGCCGCTAACTCCTGCCGTCGATCCACGCGGCGGCGACGAGGATACCGCTGGCTCCCCGCCGGAGCTGGTGGGCGGGGACGAGATCGGTATCGGTATCCCCGTCGGTATGCCCGGTACCGGTACCGCCGCCACGGGGCCGGTCCCCTTCCGCCTCTGTATCCCGCCGAGAAGGTGCTTCTCGCCTCTCCGGAACCCGTCGTTGGCAAACTCCCATCTGTCCGCCACTACCTTCTTGAATCCCTGTGTAAACAGAACGGAATGAACGGTTAGGCAGAAGAAGATGAGCGGAATGGACAAGGACGACTCGGGTACTCACGTAGGTGTTGAGCTGGCGGACGAACGAGGAGAAGTTGCTGTGCTTGAAGTGCTTGGGGAGAAGGTCGCGGGCGAACTCGGCGGGGCGCCACACCACGAACGCCGTGCCGGTGTCGTTCCAGGAGATCGTCTCGTCCGTGGTCGGGTCCTCCACCATGGCGTACGTCTTCGTCAGGAACGGCGGAGTCCCCGCCGCCGGCGACGCCATTAGGCAAGAGAGTGCGGTGTGCAGAGGAGAGGAAAGGAAGGTGTGAGGAGAGAACACAGAGAGGAAGACGCATCTAGAAAGGTGGATTTGGGGATGAGATTAGGTTGGACCTAGGTGAGAGAAGCATCCAGCGGGTTCTAGAAGGTTCCCATCTTTCCCTTGCGCTACCGGACACGTACGCTGTTTCTAGAGAGTGCCCGTTTGGATTGATGGGCTGGAAGGGGTTCGCTGAGTTACACTTGGACAAAGCCCAAATGGACACTTTTTGTTCTTTTTGGATATTTCTTTTCAAAATTGTCGCAGAAAATTTTGGACCGCCACATCCAAAAATTTAAAATAAGTAATGCCGCCGACTCAAATCAAATCCAGTTAAATGTTGATATCCATTACAGAAACAATGCACACATTATGTATCAATTTTACAACGTATTAACGTCTTAACCGCTGAAAGGCTGTATACCATCATTTGGCACTGACGCTCTGTAGTTGCTCAACATCGACCTGACGAAGAGGACTGAGGACAGGCCAGCAGAGCTGAACACCACTACTCCAAGTTTGTGTGGCGGGCCCTCATCTGGGACGGGCTCTGGCCCAAGACGCGCGCGAGCTCCAGCACCACCATCTCGAACAGCACGAACATAGCTCCCTCGTACAGGCTGCCCATCGGCAGCTTCGCCCGCGCCGGCGACCTCTCCGTCTCCCCCGCCCCCTCCTCGTCGTCCGCCATGGTCTGGGCGGGGAGGTGCGCCACAACGTCGGCCTGGCGCCGCGGGAAGTCCCCTCCGGGGCGCGCCGTGAGCAGCAGGACGCGCGCGCCGGCGCCGCGCGCCACGCCGCAGATGGCGTCGACGGTGGAGAACGCGCCGGGCCCCGCCGAGGCAACGAGGAGGTCCCCGGCGCCCGCGGGCGGCGCCGTGACGTCGCCGACGCAGTGCGCGGGGAGGCCCAGGTGCGCCAGGCGCATGCAGAGCGCGCGCATCATGAGGCCCTCCCGCCCGACGCCGTGCACGAACACGCGGCCGCCCCGCGAGGCCACGGCCTCGAGCTCCGAGACCAGGACGGAGCGCGCGGGCGGGTGCGGCGACGGCGCGGAGAAGGCGGAGGCGATCTGACCGCAGATGGCCGCGGCGTCCGCCTGCGCCGAGGCCGCGGCGGTGTCGCTGCCGGCCATTGTTGGCGCGCCTGTGGGCTGTGGCTTATCCGAATCTCTCGTGGAGGACTGGAATCAGGAAGGCCTTTGGTCAACTCGGCCTCTTCGTTGTGGCTAAAGGGCGGCCAACATGGTGTCGTCGCTGTGGCCAGGTTACGCGTCGTTATTAGGCCGTTAGCACTCGGAACGGCTCTCCGTCAGAAGGGACAGACTGACAATATGACACTAGTAGTGTCGCGTGTTCAGTTTCACCCAAAATCCAAAAAAATGCTTTAGAAATCATTATTTAATATTTACGATTTTTGTTTGTATTTGATTAAATGTAGAAAAAAAAACTAATTGCACAGTTTGGTGAAAATTACGAGATGAACGCTTTGTAATTTATAATCAAAACATATAATTAGTTAATAAAATCTATATTTAATATAGTATTTCAAATTTCTAACTTTCTTAATGTAAACACGCCCTCAGCTGATCTTTGTCCTACCAGACTACCACTACCATACCAGTAGCCTGGCCGCCTAGCCGGGCTGAAATGGATCGTTTTTTTTTCACGGCTGAAATGAATCATTAGCAGACATAGCAGCCCGACGGCTAACTGGAAATGGGAACACGACTAGACGAGTACAAGGACTTTCTATGATGGCTTGGTCGCCTAGCATCCTCAGGCGAGCAATTAGCCCATATAGGGTCAATTCCAGATTGAAATATTCACCCTGTTCGCTGATACTAAAATTTGATTTATGCTTATGCTGAAATATTGCGAGAGAAAAACACCGTTTCATAACTGAAAAATAGTTTTGAATAAGCTCAAACGAATGGGGCTTACATATATCTGGAGGAGCACATCTGTATCCAGTTGGGGAGCTAGCTTATTGACAGACGACAGTGGTACTCCGCTGTAGTGTGTGATGGCTAGAGCTCTCCGCATCGGTACTTTGATGTAGTGACAGGCCGGTAGTAATCAGTCTGGGCCAAACCAGGGTGCGGATGAAGGGCGGCAGACATTGCATATAGCAGCCACGACGGCTGGAGGCCTGGAGCCGACCAGGGCCCATTGCGGCCGGTGGCAGTTCCGCTTCGTTCGACGAGTAGCAAACCCAAACAGACAAACAAAATGTATTTTATTAACGAATTATTTGAAAACTTAATGGCCTATTCAGATTTTCATCTTGTTTGGTTACACTTGCAAGTTGCAAAGTTAACCCTAGCATCTTCAAGAGTTCCCAATAGTTTTGTAACTCGCCAAAAAGAATAAATAAGACTATCTCCAACGGTTTCCATTATTCACTCCGAAAATATAGAACATAATTTTATATCAAGAAACCCTATACTATTTTTAAATTATCCTAGCCACTTTTATATATTCTTTCTCTCATGTACATTTACATCGGAATTCTTTTCTAATTTTTATTCTTTCTCACACTCTTTCACCTTAGATTGGCAGATCGATACGTGTGACTGGAGTCAGCGCATCTTTACGCGAAGGAAGGTTTTTTCCTAAGTGCCAAAAGATTGGGGGGTGAGTTTGAAAGTTGTTGGAGATAATTTTTTTCCATTCTTTCTAAAAACACAAGGATTGGAAGAATTATTGTGTACTTGGAGATGCTTTAGAGAAAAAAAAACTCACGGTGTCTGGAACCAAATCAGTTTGGCTACACAGTAATCAATTGAAGTTTGAGACACAGATTCCGGCTCAAAACATAAAGAAACATGAAATATCGTCTAAATTCCTTCTTTAGTCAAGGCAGATTCGGGAAGCAACCTTGTCAGAAATATGTAATTGGCTACTCCTAGCAGACAAACAAAAAACATGAATCCTATTTGGGATATTCAATTTCCACATCCCAGGGGTATAAACTTAGTAACTTTGAAACTTATAGCATAAACCAGAAATTAGTTAGCATGCTAACTTTTTGTGAAGGGAAAGGGAGTCTATTAAGTTGAGAACACAATTACATACCCATTTACATGCAAGCCTTAGCTAAAAAACAAAGATACGCTAGCCGGAGCCCTACAATAACGTTATTCACCTCCAGTCATCCACGGGAGATGAGCAACACCAACAAATGTCAAACATCGCCCTCTAATCATCCACAACGACATGAACCAAACTTTGGAGACACGGGAACTTCACGCAACGCATTTGACATGTTGAAACAACATCGACTTCCTAGTCTATAAAGGTGGTCAAGAGGCCATTAATCCGGCGCCACTACTTTTCGGCCATTGCTAGATCATTTTTTCTAGCGAATTGGTAACACAAAGATGCAAACGAGAGGGTCAACTACCCGATGTGTTAGATGTCTAAATAAGCATCCGTATAAGAGATCTCTATGAGAATTAAGATCCAACAAGAAAGCAACAAAGATAACGCCATCCGCTAGCCTATAAAATATTATGACATCGCTACCAATTTTGGATGACAGAGGATCTCTGCTCTTCCTTACCGTCGTGGGGAAGGGGGGGGGGGATCGGATCCAGAGAAGCCCCTAGGTAGCTATTGGGGAACCGGAGGAGGCAATGACTGTTGAAATGGAAAAGACATATGATGCGTCTAGCATTTGGGTAGTTGATATTTATGCTTCATACCACGCACAAGCCATTTCGGGGAACAAAACATTTGGGAGTTATTATCCTCAAAGGCTCACGTAGGGAATTTAATGAATGATAAGATATTAGTATGTGTGTTAGCTAGGTGGTGCTTAACAGAGAAATTGACCTCTCCTAACGATTTTATCTATAACTTGCACACAAGCCACGAGATGAAGAATAATCTAGATTTACAGGTGTTTAAAGTGTAATCCCTGATTCCCCGCCGCCCCCCCCGCGACAAAAGCATACTCCGTTTGAAACCTCAACACTCTTATCATCGTACTGCGGAGCAGAGCAGACATCTAACGAAATTATGATCGTGCCAGGGCGTCAGGGCCCATGAGCGTTTCATTCCATCGACCATCATCGTCATCGTACACGAGTCACCACAACTCACGCGCCCTGCTCCCACGTCTGGCGTCTCAGACTCCGCACGCACGACCGCACAGGCACAGCACACTTCGCCCAAACAAATGAGCTGTCCGAATGTCAGCCTGTGCCGTGTGCCCCCATCCGGGCCATCGTGTCGCGTCCCGTGGACATGGAGGCCGGCCCATGGGCAGCAAACGCAGCAGGGACTAGAAACTGGGCGCCCAGATCCGACCGTACCGGAACCGGACCCTCGGCGGTGACGGGACCGACGGCGCCTGCCCAGTGGCCACCACCACGTACTACGCCCGAAATGGCAGATCCAACGTTTCACGGCCACGACAGGCGTGGCCCAGGCCCGCCCGCCCGCCCGGCTAGATCTGGCCGCGCCACCCCTGTCTCCCCTCGCCGCTACAGCGTGCGCCCACGAGCTCCCCCCGACCATGACCAACTCGTGCGCTTGGCCCGATCGTGCCCTCATCTCGTTCTGTAAAGATCGCGCCGATTAAACAAGGGTTAATTGGATTAAAGCCATTAAAAAAACCGTATATTCGAGAAATGCCATTACTTTTCATCTATTTTGAATGTGCCATTACAATTCTGTGTACAACGAAGAAATGCCAGTTTCTAAGCTTGGTGTGACCTATGGCCCACCTGCAGGCATACTTAGACGTACCCCAAATCCATATGGTCCATTATGCCTCTGCCTTCCGCATTAGACGCCCGCGCCGCTGACTGGATCGAGTCGTTGCCGTTCCCCACCTTCTCTCTCCCTCCCGAACGACGGCGACGGTCCCAACGACGGGTACTGCTGCAGTGACTGCTCCTCCTTCCCTACCCCATCTGCCATTATCCATCCCTCTCGAGTGCCTTTCATCAGCTCTGTGGTGATGGCGAGCACAGCTGCCATCTCGAGTGCAAGCACTGTTCGTTGTCTTCCTTTGATTGATTGTCCCAAATGCAAGATCAAGGTCGTTAGGCGCAAGAGCAAGGCTGGCAACGTGTATTACAAGTGCCCCAATAATTTTCTGGTAATTTGTCATGATTTTTGTCTATTTTCACAAGATGCTGCTAGGGTTAATTGGGCTCGGTTTTGATTTGTTTATAATTTGCAGAATGATGATACTTTTAAGGAATACTGGTTCGAGGACCAATACCTTGAGTATTTACGTGCCAATCATCCAAACCTGCTTGAGGGTGTTGAAGTGGATTTTGTACAGCCCACAGCTTTTGCCCTTGCTGTTCTTGGTGCTCCTGTTGGCACAGAACAGAATAGCGACAGGATGGTGGAGATGCTGGACATGAAGGTTCAGATAACTGACTAGGTCGACATTGCCAACTTGAAGCTAGAGATCAAAGATTTGAAGAATGGAGGATTGGGCAAGCCTTTTGACGTAGCCAATGCATTAGTTGTTTTGGTGATGCTGAATCTATTTGTAACAATCTTAGTTGCAGCAATTTGGAAGTGAAGTAGTCTGTAGGTTAGGAGCACGTTGGTTGCATACCCTATTAGTTAGCAGTGTTAGTAGTGTGGGAGCATTTTGGAAGGTAAGGAGAAAGTATCATGTGTTTTAGCCGTGTTAATCTAAATATGTATGTGACTCTGTTTCAGTCATGTGGTTATGTAAATCTTTTTTTAGTGTTTATGTGACTATGTTTTTTGTGAATATATTTCTATATTTTTTTGGATAATTTTGCTACTGGACCCTAAGCTTCTGTGAAACTTGCTATAGAACATTAAAATTTCTTTATTGTAGGGCACTTCCTAGTGTCTTCTAGCAAATAATTTTTTTGATAGTGCTAGGCCGAAATAAAAAGTTTGGACTGGGACTATAGGTGGATGCCATTTCCATCAGAAGCCCACTATTTTAAGCACCCAGATGATCAGTTTGTGGCCACATACAGAGGCCATTCAGTTCTATCAACACTTATCCGTTGCTATTTCTCCCCTGTGCACAGGTCAGGAAGGAACATCATATATTTTTATTTAATCTATGGTGAGAAACACCAACTTTCACAGAAATGGGTTCATTAACACAAGCTCATCAATATGATCAGAACACATAAATGGGTTCACCGGCACAAGCAGTTAATATTGACAGGCTTAATACTGATCCGCTTCTGACCATAACACACATAAAGGTTCAGAAGCATGTACCAGACTACCTAACATCCAGTTCACATGCACATAGGCATACATATATGACCGCGCCTCATCCAGTTCACATGCACATAGGCACAACTACAGGTTCAAAAGATTACATAGCACAATTTCAACTTCAAAAGACAACAGGCGGAACTTCATCTTCAAAAGACATGGCCTGTTCACATGCACACAAGTAGAACTTGAACTTCAAGCTTCCATGTTGTTTAAAAAGTCTTCAGGCTACGAACAACACTAGTTTCTGGAGCAGCCGCCGCCTTCTTCTGCTTCTTTTTTACTGGGGTCTTCTTCTTCAGTGTTTTCTTCTTCTTAGGTGTCCTCTTCTTGACTTATGATGGTCTAGCAATGTCCTCATCTTCTTCTACTTCTTCTAGTTGCCTTTTCCTGTAAATGTCACAATATTGTTAGAAAATAATTGCTAAACTGTGTTACAATTGGAAAGAGACCTGCAGTAAAAAAACTTGCCTTTTTGCTTTTGAATTCAACTCAACCTCTCCATCTTCCCCTAACTGTGGCATCTTACAAGCCTTGGCAAAGTGGTCCAATTGAAAGCTCTAGTTTGGTTTTGGTGAATTGATGAAACCCTAAGTGTTAACCTAGTTTATCAAGTGATCATGAGATAGGTAGCACATTACAAGTGGTGAAGCAAATGAAGATCATGACATGATGATGGTGATGCTATGGTGATGATCAAGTGCTTGAACTTGAAAAGAAGAAAGAGAAAAACAAAAGGCTCAAGACAAAGGTATAAATGATATGAGCCATTTTATTTTGGTGATTGAGACACTTAGCGAGTGTGATCACATTTAGCATCGATAGCCGTACTATTAAGAGGGATGAAACTCGTATCAGAATGTGGTTATCAAAGTGCCACTAGATGCTCTAACTCATTGCATATGCATTTAGGATCTAGTGGAGTGCTAACACCCTTGAAAATGTTTGTGAAAATATGCTAACACATGTGCACAAGGTGATACACTTGATGGTTGGCACATTTGAGCAAGGGTTAGAAACTTCACCAGCGGAGTGTCCGCCCGTAGAGTGCGGATAGTCTAACGGTGCCACCGGCGCCCTATACAGAAAAGACGGAGGTCACTGTAAGTGACCGGACGCTGGTCTCGGTAGGACCGGCGTGTCCGGTCAGAAGAAGTAGCGAAGACGCTGGCGTCAGTCTCTGACCGGACGCTGGGTCACTTAGTGACCGGACGTTGGAGGGTTGCGTCCGGTCCTGCTGACATGGCAACGCACAGGGGAGTCGTCGTGTGACCGGACGCTAGGTGTGTCCAGTCGAGCATGACCGGACGCGTCCGGTCGTGATTTCTCGCTTCTGGATGCTTACTGGAAACGACCGGGCGCTGAGGTCCAGCGTCCGGTCACTTCGCAGCAGGGCGTCTGGTCATCACTTGACTGTTGGGATCAAACGCTTAGTTTTTGAAGAGAGCAGACACGTGGCATGCATCGCACGACCGGACGCTGGGGTCCTGCGTCCGGTCAATCTGACTGGTGCGTCCAGTCGGCCCGTGTTCAGTGCAGTGAGGAGCCCAACGGCTCTATTTCGTGGGGGCTTCTATTTAAGCCCTATGGCCAGCTCAAGCTCACTCTCTTGGCCATTTGCATTGACATAACAACCTTATGAGCTTAGCCAAAGCCCTCCCACTCATCTCCATCATAGATTCAACATCTTTGTGAGATTGGGAGAGAATCCAAGTGCATTGCTTGAGTGTTTGCATCTAGAGGCACTTGGTGTTCATGTTTCGCTGTGGGATTCGCTTGTTACTCTTGGTGGTAGCCACCACCTAGACGGCTTGGAGCAGCGAGGATCGTCGAGCGAAGGTTGGTGATTGTCTCCGGCTCCGATCGTGGTGCTTGTGAGGGGTTCTTGACCTTTCCCTGGCGAAGATCCAAAGGGTATTCTAGTGGATTGCTCGTGGCTTGTGTGATCCTCATCTTGTATTGGTTGTGCGGCACCCTATTGAGGGTTTGGCATATGATGACAATTAGTGCGTGAACCTCCAAGTGAGTGAATCGCCACAACGAGGACTAGCTTGCTGGCAAGCAAGTGAACCTCGGTAAAAAATCATTGCGTCATCATTTGATTCTGAGGTGATTGGCCTTCATTGGTATTCATCCTTATGATTGATTGGTTCACTCCTCGACACGGCGGTATAACCATCTTGCTCACTATCTCTACATTACCGCAAACTAGTTGTCAAGCTCTTTAGTGTAGCTAGTTGTGAGAGCTTGTTGGTTTGGTTAGTGTGGCTCTTTAGTTAGCCTTTGAGAGCACACTAACTTAGTGTAGTGACATAGCTATTGTGTGGATAGAAACTACATAAACTAGAATTGTGGTAGGTGGCTTGCATTTTTAGTAGGCTAGCGCAACACTCGCTTCGCTTCATAATTGTCTAACCGGTTTATAAGTGTTGTTGTAGAAATTTTTAATAGACTATTCACCCCCCTCTATCCATTATGACTTTTCACCAATTCACCACACCTTTTGCACCTCACCTTCTTCTTAGTAGCATTTTTCTCATTACTTCCTCTGATTCTTACTACTCTAGGCCTACCAGCCGCTCTTCCTAGTAGAGGTGGCCAAACTTTGAATCCAAGGTCAACCTCTGGCCACTGTGATCTGTCTAGCATTGGTTCAACTCTCTGAGCATATGCAACCTTGAACCTCTGAACAGAATAGTACTCATGCACAAAGTCTACAATTTTATTCCCCTTTGTGATAGTATCCATACCAATGCATGTTTGCATGGCTTGCCTGTGACTTGCCACTCTCTGCATGAGCAAGAATGATGCTGCAAGTCTACAGTGTGCCTCTTCTGGTTGTTCCAGTCATCAAGCAATGTCACTTCTGCTATATCCAAATCACTCTGGACAACCTTAATAACTTTTATGTTCTTGCTTACAGTGTTTATGTCCTTGATGACACTAGGGAGTATACCATCTTGCAGATTCCTATCAATATGCCTCCTTAAACATCTCTTCTCCATTATCAGCTCCCTTGTCCCATCAACCAGTTCATGCAATAAAACACCTTTCAAGTGCCTAATCTGAGCATTGAAACTCTCAGAAACATTATTGGTCAAATAATCACATTTACTATTCTCTGAAAATCTACATCTATACCAAACCCTATTGTGGTGGTCCTCCAGGTATTGTATGGCATCTGGAGCAAACTCATAGATCTTCTGCATGTGCCACTTGAACAAACCTAGAGTGTAACTTCTTGCAGCTGGGTACAAGTGATCAGTGAACACATCTCCACGATAGTGCTTCATGAAGTTGGCATACAAGTGTCTCATACACTCTCTATGCTCTACCCCATGGAAAACTACACCCATAGCCTTTTCAAGACCTTTACAGGCATCTGTACATATAACCAAACCAGTTGGATACCCAAAAGTTGTACGCAACTGCCCCATGAACCACTTTCAGTTGTCTTCTGTCTCCAAATCAAAAATAGCATAGGCCACATGATACAACCAATTGCGACCGTCCACTGCAGTTACTGATGCCAGCTGCCTAGTATATCTACCACGCAGAGCAGATGCATCTACACCTATAAATGGCCTACATACAGCTAAGAAACCATCAATGCATGGCTTCAGTGCTATAAAAATTCTCTTGAAGCGCTTTTTCTTCTTCCCTTCTACCTCTATCTCTACAATGCTACCAGGGGAGCTAATTTCTATATGTGCTTTCTAGTTGTACAGCAATTGAAAACTTTCTTCATACTTTCCATGAATCTGTTCAAGAGCAAGCTTCATACCTGACCAGGCCTTAGAGTATTTCAGTTTGATGCCATAATCTCCTTCAAGCTTATCCTTTGCATCTTTGGCTCTTTTATTTGGATTTTTCTTCACCCACTCTCCAAACCTATCAGCACACCATCATGGACTGGCCATCTTGCCTTCTCTCAGCTTGGTACTGGGACAGTTGTGCTCAGCAGGCAACGTTTTTATCTGAAAGCAAAAAAAGGTCACATATTGTACACTTAACACTTTTATCTGCAAGAAAAAATTATAGAAGTAGGCAACAATTATATTTTCAAAAAAAGGTCTTATGTTGTACCTATATTGTTTTTCGATCATAAATTCTAGAAGCATAAATTCTCCATGGGCACCCCTCAGCTGCACACTTGGCAACGAATCT